AGAACTGAATAACCACCAAAAGGAGATCATTCTAAGGTCTTAAGTCTTAAATACAGGGGTTAGAGATGAGGACATGAATACTTAAGGGGTGATTATTCTGTCTGACATGGAAAGCAACTAATATATAATAAACTTTTAAATTTATATAAAAAAATCTTCAAATGTTAAAAATAAAGGAATCTAAGCAACATATCAGCACATCACTAAGCAGATACAGTCATTTTAGAGTGCAGTAAGGTTTTAAAAATATACACATTGATATTTCTGGAGAGATAGTTCCTCAGAAAATGAGAAAATTAGAAACCCAAAACTGTCTTAGTCAACTTTGTCACTAAGTGACTGAGGATGGTTGCTTCATAGATAAAAGAGGTTTATTTTGGCCTACAGTTCTGAATGATAGGTGTATGAGAGGGAGCTCAAGCCATCATTGCCATATGCTAGGGGCACAAGTGGAAGAGATCATATAGCGAGAGATGAAGGGAATATACGGCTGGACCAAGCAAGCAAAGAGTTCTTAAACTTTATAAGTCATTGTCATGGTAACACCCTTGGCCCCATGTCTGTCTGTCTGTCTGTCTGTCTGTCTGTCTGTCTGTCTGTCTGTCTGTCTGTCTGTCTTTCTATCTGTCTGTCTTTCTGTCTGTCTGTCTCTGGTTGCTTTGTTTTGTTTGAGATAAGGTTTCTCTGCGTAACAGCCCTGGTTGTCCAGAAGCTCACTCTTAGACAAGCCTGGCCTGGAATTCAGACATCTGCTTACCTCTGCCTCTCAAGAGCTGTGACTGAAAGTGTGCACCAACATATCCAGTCAAACCCAGTCTCTTGAGATTTAATCTACTCCCTAGACACAGGTATTGATTCATTCTAGGGGGAGTAACCTCAAATTGGTTTTGCTAGCTCTCAGAACCTTTACATTGAGATAAAGTCTGCATAGAACATTTTGGGGGAAAACTGTATGTAAACAATGGTGGTAGCTGTAGCTAAAGCATAATTCTCAGAAGCATCATGTTAAGGGAAAATGCAAGGGTTTGGGGCTGGGTGGATGGCTCACTGGTAAAGTGGTAAAGTGTTTGCCTAGCATGCTTGAAGCCTTAGGTTTGTTGATCTCCAGCACTGCTTTGCCTACAAAGATCCAGAGGACTGCTCACATTTGTGTCTGAAGTCCATGTATGGGTTCCTGAGGGCTGCTCTAATAACTTGCTACAAACTGCTTGGATTTTGTTGTGTGGCTTTCCTGAGGAGCTGTGTAAAAACAACTTCTATATACCCCAGATCTGAACTGCAAAGGTAGACCCTAGAAAGACTCTAACAAGTCCAGGTTGGCAGAATACATGAATTTATTAGGATTACTTTCAGAAGTGTGAGTGGTTGATAGGCAGCTATCCCATTGAAAGGTTTGCTACTCACTCATCAAGCTACTATTTAATATGGCTCTAGGTCTATAGAGAATTAATGCAAACTTGGTTTCAGAATTCTATCTACTGTTAAAGCAATAGAGGTAACTACAGGCTCAGGTACTGTAAAGCAGACACTATCTGACTCTGTGTGTTTCATGTTATCTGCATCCTCCTTGTCCCTATCAGAGATTCTGTTGATCTCTGCAGTGACTTCTCCAGTTGCGGGAAGAGTTATTGTTGTGTGCTACAGTTGAGTACATGGAACAGCTACAAATGATGGCTTGCTACAAGATGGAACTACTCTGGTTAGACTTTGAAGAATTAGTCCCACTATGTTACCAGAGTGTTCCGATCAGAGCACCTGAATCCTGGCACCCACAACAAAGTAAGGCTCAGCAACTTATGGCCAATACTCCAATTAAAAAGTCCAAGTCAAGACAAGTCAAGTCAAGTCAAGGCGTGGTCCTACACATTGTTGACCCATCATTGTCTCTGCTCCAGTCTCTTCAGCAAGATTGTCTGACAAATTGTCCTAGAAGACAAATTCCCTTCTTATTGGTTTCACACTTTAGCCAGTTATTTCTGGCTGATATTCTAGGGACAACTTGATTTCTTGGTGACCATTTTTTCAATAGTCAATAGTTCCAATAGACAACTTTTCAATACTCTGTTAGGTAAGAGAAAATCACAGATGTCTCTAAAGTACCTTTTTCCTGTCAAGATAGATACAACTTTAAGGAGCAGATGTTTCTTGGGCTAGGGAGATCAGTCAGGAGGTAAAGTTCTTGCTGTACAAGCATGAGAACTTAGTCAGATTTCTAGTACCCATGTGAAACCTGGGTGCTGTGGCACATGCCTGTAACTCCTGCACTGGGGAGTACAGTTAGGTAGATCTCTGGAGCTCATTAGCCACCCATATATCCAAATTTGTGACCCCTGGGTTCTGTTTCAAAAACTAAGCTGAAGAACAATAGAGGAAGCCACTTAATAATGACCTTTGGCTTACACACACACACAAACACACACAAACAGGGGAGGGTAAAAATATATTTTTATTGTTTGGAATTCAACTGTCCAAAATCCAGGTGTTAGCCACGCTGTACTGTATCTGAAGGGTCTAGCAAAGGTTTCTTGCTTCTTTCTAGATTTTGTAGTTGTCAGCATTCTTTAGCCTTCTTTGGCTTGAGTCTGCCTCACTGTACTCAGCCTTTATCATCACTTGGCTTTTTCCTCTCTACCTCACTGTATTGCTCCATCTCTGATTTTCTCTACAAGGGTTGATTGGATTTAAAGCCATCCTCACCTAGTAAAATCTCATTATTATTTCTTTATATTTACAAAGACCCTATTGCCCAATAGGAATGTCTTTTATGTTGGAGGGTGGCTAGGTCTTCTGAAGAGACACACTGAAACCTATGACAAGCTTTTGGGGGAACAGATGCTGAGGTTGAGATGTGCTTACTGGGGATCTATTATGGAGTACTCTAAGGACAATATCTGTCAGAGACTGATGGAAGAAGGGTTAACCTAAATAAGTTGAGCTGAGACCATCTACAATATAGGCCTCAGGCAAGGTCATATGAGTGCTGAAGCTGGGAAGGCTTTTCAGAGATGTCCATTTGTAAGTCTGTACTTACTTGTCATTGTAGGTGGAGATTTCTGTCCTGCCAGCAGCTTCCAAATACATGAGGCTTATATTAATAATAAATGCTCAGTAGCTTAGGCTTATTACTGACTACCTTTTAAAACTTAAATTAACCCATTTCTATTAATCTATGTACAGCCATGTGGCTTGTGGCTTTACCTGTCCTCCAGCATGCCTTGCTCCCTCTGTGACTTTTGGTGACTCATCCAACTCCACCCTTCTTCCCATCATTCTCAGTTTGGTTCTCTGGCCTAACTTTATCCTGTTCAGCTATTGGCCAGCAAGCTTCTTTATTAAACCAATCACAGTGACAGATCTTCACAGTGTACAAAAGGATTGTTCTACAGCAAGTCACAGAATGCAAGTTCCCATTGCAGAGGAGATGAAGTAGATCCCCTGGCTAGTCAATGCTCACTGAGGGATACAGCTGGGAGCCTTCAGCAACCAGCACTCTGGCTAATGGGAGATTAAATGTCATAGTTCTGTAAGGAAGATCTGAACTGATGTCCCAGCATGCATTAATAATGTTTATAAAACAGAGCTTAAAAATAAGACAAATTAAACAGTATTATATATATATGTATGTATATATATATAATTATATATATATATATCTGTATGTCTATATGTAATTGTGTTAAAAAGTGTGTTTAGGACAGTTCTTAGGTGTTTACTTTGCTGTTTTCTATTACATTTGGCTTTATAACCAACTTGTTTTTTATCTGTTTGAGACAGAGTTCCACTGTCTAGCTCAAGCTGTCCTCAAACTCTGGATCCTCTTGTTTCAACCTCCTAAGTGTGGTGCAAACACTACCTTACCCATTTATAACTAATTTGTATTTTATATAGTATTTTTATATGCAACAAATAGATTTACCAAGAAAATAAAAAGGAAAGAAATAAATAGGAAACAGCAATAGGAATCAAGTTAACAAGGTTCTTTAGGAGGGGAAAAGGTCCATGAGCAAACGTAGCAAATTCTAGCAGGGTGGTGGTGCACCTGTCTTTAATCCTAGCACAGGGAGGTAGAGGCAGGCAGATCATTGTGAGTTTAAGGCCAGCCTGGACTACAAAGCAAGTTCCAGGACAGCCTGGGCTATGCAGAGAACCCCTTGTCTTAAAAAACATAACAAATAGCAAATGCTAAATTGATTGCAAGCACAAGTGTTCAGGTGAAGAAAAACACATGAAATCATTCCTCTGTATCCTCTGTGTTTGCTTGTGCAACTGTCCTAATATTTGCATGTTTTGTCTGGCAGCAAGACATTGATAACATATCTAGTTCGCTTCCCCTTTACCTAGTTGGAGCTAGCTTAACTATGGCCCTGATTTTTTTTTTTAAAGGGTGAAAGTACCTTGGGTAAGATAACTGGAGTGATTACTAGATCTGGTGATACAATGTTGTAAAGCAGTTACTGGGGCAAGACTGATGTGTGAAGACATGTCAGCTACCAATCAGAAAGGGTGATAAATAGCTTGGCATACTTTTCTGTTTTTTATAAGTCCGTGTATGCCTGTGAATTAAAAAACTAAGGGAGTTATTAAAGCTGTATTTTTATTTATTGATTTCACTCACTTATTTGCCTTGGGTGTGCATGTGTGCCCTGTGGCATGTTTGTGGAGGTCAGAGGACAGCCTGAGGGAGTCAATTCTTTCTACCGTGTGGGTTCCAGGGATCTGGCTCAGGTCATCAGGCTTGGTGCCAAGCACCTTTCCCCTCTAGGCCATCTCACTATCCTTAAAGCTGTGTATTTCAATGCCTTGTTTCAAATTGGCTGATCTCAGTTTTAATTGAAAACTATGTTTATAGATGTGACCGTGAATGTGAGCTCAAGTTCTGTTTGAGCAGTATGTCTTGTTGGAAGGGTTATCTGGCTGTGATATCTGTCACCCACTGAGCGCCAGGGTGGATTCAGTTGATCTAGCTGGCCAGGATAATGTCCTCTTTTCTTTCCCTCCAGAAGCTGTGGGCTTGGCGGAAGAAGATGAGTTTCTATCTTTAGTTAAAAGTGTGTGAACAGCTACCCATCTCTGCTGGACCTTCAATGGAGCTCTCAAGATGTTGTGTTTTTAGAGCTAGACCATGGATGGCACCTAGGGGTCCTTGTAGAAGAAGCTCTACTAAAGAGCTGGTTTCTTTGTGTGACAAGTGTTTAGATGTAGTGAAGCACTGGAAAATGCTTGGGAATACTGATTAAGGAAATAAAATAGTAACTTCTAATTAATTCCTAATGCTAAAGGTTCTATTTAATTTAAATTAGTTTGCTCTTCATAGAACCTTTTATTTTTCCAACCCAGGACTTGACAACTGGATGTAAAATGTAATCAAAGCTCAATGTGTCTGGCCCCAGGGATATAGCTCAGTTGGCAGAGCACTTGCCCTAGTAGATGCAAAATTTGCTTCCCAGCACATAGGAAATGGCTCTGATGGTACCCACCTAGGATTCAAGTGCTCTGGAGCTGGAGGCAGGAGGTAACCAGAAGCTCAAGTGTAGAAAGTTTGGAGCCAACCTGAGCTACATGAAACCCTGCCAAAAACAAAAAAGCAAGCCCAGTGTTTTGAATTATGATCAAATGAAGATCAGATTGTACAGTGGAAGACAGGACTGTTAAGAAGAGGTAATGAAGGAGCTGGCTCTTGTTTCAAAGGTTTAGCTATGATGTTATTCTTAACTCCTGACCTCTGTGGCATTTTTCCTAATTATGAAGTTTTCTTTTGTACAATGAACTACTCTGATTTCTCTGTAAAAATTGGATATGAATTTGTAGATATTTGTATCAAGATGTAGAAAAACTGTCAATGAATTTCAATGGAAATCTGAGATCTGTATTACTACAATACTGTGCTGTTAACTCACATTTTTTTTTTTTTTTACCTTAAAGACTATTCTCAACTTTAATTTTTTAAATAAATGATTATGAAGTTCGGTGTGGTGTGTCTGATTCTCTAGAAGTTTTCTTCTCTGTTTTTGTCTCTGTCTCTTTCTCTCTCTTTCCTGAAAACTTTTTACTATGTAGTCTTGGCTGGCCTGGAATTCATTTAACAACATAGACAAGGCTGGCCTTGAACTCACCTATCTCTGCCTCTGGAATGATGAGATTAAAGTCATGTGCCACTATTCCCAGCTTCACACACACACACACACACACACACACACACACACGTTCATATATATATTAACAGAAATTCTACAGCAACAGTATCTGTTTGCCAAGACAGCTTCAGAAAGAAGCATTTGCCCTGTAGGATGAAAACACTTGAGGTTTGCATTAGTTGGCAGTAGCAAAGCTACAAAAATCTCTCAAGGCATATTTTGGTCATAGAGTGGACAAGACTTGTTGAAGAACTGGATATGAGGATTTAATGGAAAGGAAGTTGGCACCTAGGTTTTGCATCCCAGAAAAATAATGAGTAGTAGTCCAGTTAAGGAGATGGAAAAGAAAAAGTGAAGATGTGTCTTAGTTATTGTTCTATTGCAGTGAAGAGACACCATGACCAAGGCAACTTATAAAAGAAAACATTTAGTTGGTGTTTGTTTCTAGTTTCAGAAAGCAAGTCCAGGAACGACACAGCAGGAAGCCTGGCAGCAGGCAGGCAGGCAGGCAGGCAGGCAGGCAGGCAGGGCTCTAGATAAGCAGCTGAGAGCTGACACCTGATTCACAAGCAAGAGGCAGAGAAAGCTAAGTTGGATTTGCATGGAATTTTGAAACCTCAAATTCCCCCCTCAGTGACCCACCTCCTCCAAAAACGCCACACCTCCTGATCCTTCCCAAACTGTCCTCTTCTGGAGATAGGGAACATTCACAAGAGGTATGTATATGAGGGAGGGCAGGTGTGAAGTTCTATCTTTAAATATATTAAGTTTGAATTGGGCATGCAGCTCTGTTGATATAGTGCTTCACTGGTATGTATAAAGCCCTGGATGCAATCCCTAATACTGAATTAAAAAAAAAAAAAGACATGGTGACACACACTTGTCTACATAGCCTGCTCCAGATTGAATATTTGACATTCTGTCTCAAAACAAAAACAAACAATAGATGTATTAAGCTTGAGTGGAGATATTGAGTGTGCACCTGGACCTATAAGCAGAAGGCAGAAGATGTACCAGAACAGAAATTTAATTTGTGTGTGTGTCTCCCCTGCCCCCCAACTTTGCTGAAATGCTTCTATGCTCTACTAGACATCATGCTTTTATGTCCCTTTAAAACTTCCTTTCAGGGACAGGGGAGATCGCTCAGTAGGTAAAATGCTTGCTGCTCAAGTATAAGGACCTGGGTTTAGATCCCTAGCAGCATGTGGCATCCAGGTGTAGTGGCTTGCATCTGTAATCCAGTACTGGGGAGGCAGTGACAGCACTGCTTATTTAAATAGGTGAGTACTAGGTCCTCTGAGGAGAAGGCACCCTATGTCGGGCAGGTATTGTGACATACACCTTAAATTCTAGCACTCAGGAGGCATGCATGGACAGTTAGATAGACATCTGAGCTGGAGATCAGTTTGGTTTACTTAGTTATTGCTAGGATAACCATGGCTAGGTAGAGAGACTGTCTCCAGCCCCAACCAAAATAAGAATTAAAATGATCCCCCATGTCAACCTCTGACCTCCATGTGTGGATGTACACTCTTATATACAAAGGCATATATATATATCATCTGTTACCAGACGTAGGGCCACAGCTTGTGCATCAACAAGTGAGGTTCAGCCGTCTATCCTTGATAAGTCAATAAAGTAGCCAAATTAATAGTGAAGAATGGCGGAGGGAGGGAGAGAGAGATGAAGAAGAAGGAGAAGGAGGAGGAGGAGGAGAGAGATTTATTCAATGGCCATATTTCAGATTGGGAACAGGTACAAAGAGAACTGGCAGCCCCCACCAAGGCCGTGTTTCAGGTTCTGAAGTGCGGTTATGGTTTAAGCAGGGGGTCAGAGTTACACACATCTAAGCAGTCCCAGTGAAAGTGTGGTCCAGCCCACCATTGACCCCCTCATTGGCTCTTCTGTAAGGTGTTCTAGGAAATTTGCCCAGGTTTTCTTTTACCCCAGCATGAGACTCCTGGGAGGAGTGGACAAATTCCTGTTTTGAGTCCATTGTTTTAATAGTCTTCATAGTCAAAGGCACTCAAATGTCTCTTAAGAATATCTTTAGTTCTGCCAAACCGAACAAACACATGCATACTCTCTTCACTCCATCATTCTCCCACAAAACTAGAAATAACGTGATTCTGGTTCTTTAAGGTTCACTTAAAGACTAATCATTTCCCAGGAGAATTGCTCCACAAGCTGCGTTCTTGTAGCATATTTTTCATTCATATTACAACTGTTAATGCTACTATGTAGTTGAGTCGTCTCGAATTCGGTACTGGGAACCGTGAGTCTAAAGCTCAATATGGGAACTAAGGCAGGCATTTAGAAACTGGAGCGAAAGAGTGAGGCGCAGACAGGAAGAACCGCAATCCCTCATCCAAGAAGCTCATGGAATACACAAGGGTCTGAAAGCGTTTAACACAAAGGCGTAAAAATAAACTTCGCTTCTACTACAACTTCCTTTTCCGGTTCCATTCCTTCCTGAAATGCGAGCTAAACCAGGTTAGGTCTCACTGGCCAATCAACGCGCGGTCTTTCATAGGCGTGAGGACCGTCTCTGCCAATAAGAGAGCCCTGCGCTTCGGTGGCGCGATGTGAAGCTTGTGGGCGGGGCCAAATATTGAGTGGCGTGTGAGCGATCCACTGTCTTAATAAGAAAATGCAGCGCGTATCACGCAGGAGGGGCATGTGGGCGGGGCTATGAAACGGAGTTCAACCAATGGGAGTCTCAGTACGCTCATAGGCAGGCGAAGTCACCAATGGCAACATGGATATGCTGCTGTGTGCGGGTCTTGGGGGGCCAAAGCTCTCAAAAAAAAAAAAAAAAAACAAAAAAACAAAAAAAAAACGGCGTCTGTCAGCGGCGTTCTCGCCGTCACTGATAGCACCGCCCCCTCTCTCCATTCATTCGTTTTTTTTTTTCTTCACCATTCACGGTGGTAGTGAGGCCTAGGCCGGAGCCATGGAGCACGCTTTCCCAGCGGCCAGCTTCCTGTACTGGGTGGGCGCGAGCACCGTGGCCTACCTGACCCTGCGCGCCTCGTACTCGCTCTTCAGGGCCTTCCAGGTGTGGTGCTTGGGCAACGAGGCCTGGGTCGGCCCGCTGCTCGGAGAATGGGCAGGTGAGTGGACAGCCGCGGCCCCGGCGTGGCCCTCTTTACCCGGGGGACCGCTCCGCGAGCCAGCTCCAGAGCGCGGAAACTTTTGCAGATTCTGAGAGCATTGGCGGGACCTGGGGGATCTGACCTGCAGTCAGGTGGGCACGGAGAAAACCTTAACTCCCCGGTGTTTGTCCCGTTGAAACCATTCTGAGTTGGCGGCCGGAGTCAGGTGTCTTCTTCGCTCTACCCCTTGGAGTGTGTATGTGTGGTTTTTTTTTTTTTTTTTTTTTTTTTTTAAATAAAGTTTTTTAACTTGGCTTGAAAACTGGCCCTGTGCTATGGATGAGAAGCATCGGTGAGGAGGATAAGAGGAAGGGGTGCGGGGACAACGGATTTCAGAAGTCCTGATCTTGGGAAACTTGCCTCTCCAGTTACTTGGATTGGGTTCATTTCATGTAGTTTACAGAGTCCTTTGGGGGTTGGGGCCCGTGTCAGAGGAATCCTTGCGAAATGATTCTGGAGTTCCAATGTAAAAAGCGTTCTGCTGGGAAAACGGCGTCTTCGTATTGTAATCGACAGTACTTTTTTTTGCAAAAGAGAAACTTGAGAAAAAGTGACTTTACAAAAAGTGAGCAAAACACGAAACCTTGTTCCTTTCAGTTGGTAGATTTTAAAAACGAGAACAAAGGTTTTATCAGAAAAGTTGAGAAAGTCGTGGTTCGGTCCCTCCCTTTTTGTTTCTTTAATTCTTTTTGACTCTGTTAAAAACAGGTAATTTTGCATATGTTTTGTAACTCATTGTTCCCTTTTGGGGTGTGGTTGTCTATGGACTATGCATAGGACACAAATCATGTTACTTTTCAGGTTTTTTTGTTTTGTTCATTAAAGAACATTTCAACAACTTAGCAGTAAAGACATGACAGTTAATCTTTTGGGACAACGATCTAATATTACTAGAATATATTTCAAGTTGAAACGAATTTGTGATGTGGGGCAAACAGTGATTTTTATTCAACTTTTCAAAATCACTTGTTAACTTTTCATAGTCCCTGGGGAAAAGTCTTCAATATGATTAAGATCTAGGTTATAATTTCACAATTGACTTGCTCAGTGTTGTCAGTTTGGAAAAACTTGTTTCTGTTTTTTTTTTTTTTTTTTTTAATTAATATGACAGTAATGCTATAGGGAATCAGCTATCCAATAAGCTGTAATTTGCAAAGAAAGCCTAGTGTTATTTTAGCTTTGGTATTTTAAACTGTTTATAGAGGCTAAAATGAAAATGGTATATGCATGCATACGCACACATATCCATAGTGAACATGGAATGAGATGATATGATATTGCCATTTCAAAAGTAACACTTGCACTTAGGCTTGGCTCTAGTTGAAGGGATATTAGTAAATTAGGGAAAAGTTTATCCAAGATTTAGAAATGAAATTTTAACTAGAACTTTGGGATAGGAGAGAACCTTGGTGTCATAACAGAGTGAAATGTTACTCTAAAGTTTGGAAAATTCTATCTATCTACCTATCTATTTTTACCATATTTTAAATGCTGAAGCAAAAGAAGAGATAGGGGGTCATCAAGGTGGCTCAGCAGGTAAAGTTATTTAGTCTTAAACTTGACAACCTGATTTCCATGCCAGGACTACCTACAGAGAGGAAGAAGAGACTGACAGACAAGCTGTCCTTTGACCTCTCCACATCAGTACTTTGGCACAGATGCCAAATAAAACTTCTCCCAAATAAAACTGGACCCCCCCCCAAAAAAAAACAACTTTAAATCTGAGTGGTCAATTGTTATTTGTAAACATATTCATGTAGCTTAGATCTTTAAACACTTTACAAAGTCAGGGATTTTTTTAAAAAATGGAATTCAATTGAGTTCTTCAAAGCAGTTGGATGGGTGAAGTATAATATTTAGAAAACAGATTGGCAGAGGCAACACTTAGACTCTATGGGTAATTGTGATTAGACATTGATTTGGGGAGAGCTGTGATATTAGGATTAATTTTAATATGTAAATTGTATTAGGTTTTCTCCCTAGTAGACTTTCTGTCCTAATCCTGAGTGTCTTTAAACACTAGTGGGAGGTATTCTTAGGGGGCTTTGCCTAGTTTCTGCTAGAGATGTTAATTTATTATCTTCCTGTCTACAGACAATTAAATGTTTTATTATGTCGTAATTAGTGCTGGTTAGATCTTTGTTTTGACATAAGCTTGGGTTGCCTGGGAAGAGCGAACCTAAGTTGAGAAAATTCCTGAATCAGATTGGCCTGTAGGCAAGTCTGTGTTGCATTCTGCCCACTAATGATTGATATAGGAGGTGGTACCACCCTGGGCAAGCTAAGTGAGTCATGAGGAGTAATCCAGTAAGTAGTACTCCATGGCCTCTGCTTCAGTTTCTGGCTCCAGATTCCTGTCTTGAGTTCTGTCCTGACTTTCTTCCATGATGGAAGCTGAAAGTGAAATAAACCCTTTCCTCCCTGAGTTGATTTTGATCATGGTCTTTATATCATAGTAGTAGGAAGCAAATTAGGACATAATTGTTGTTGAATTAATAACATAATAAAATTAGTAAGCTTAAACAGTGTAAATATAAGTAAATGGATTTGTATAGTTCAGTTCCAATGCTACTAAATGCTATTTATAAATAAGAATACATTTGCAAAGTTAGTGTTTTATTTTACTTCTCTTCCTGTTTTTAGTATAGCATAATGCTATTGGGTGGGGCCATGGATCTTATACTAGTAATCTAACATGAATTTTCAGGATAAAAATCCCTGTGTTCTAGTATCCTTAGCAGGTTATGCTCAGCTGTTTGTCTCCAAGTAATGGTGAAAAGCAGAGGAAAGTACTTCAATTGGCCACATTGGGAAAGGAACAGATGAGAGGTCCAGTGATCCCGTGTGTCTTCACCCAAAAACTTTAGATTATATAGAGGACGAACTGGGCAAAGGACATGTGCTGTGCATAATTAAGCAGCTCTGGTCAAGGTGGGATCTTGACCACCATTGACCCTTCCTTATGTCAGTTCTGGTCCCATTAGCTGGTCTGATCTGAGAAGTGTGTCTATTTATTTCTCTCATCTCTACTAGTTGTTACTCTGTGAAGGGACCATCTGGTTCCTACTGGGTGATCACTTTTGTTCCAGGGTATAGCTCTGCGCTCATGGATAGTAGCCAACCCCTGGGGTGGAGGGTTTGTTCCACCACTCTTCCTGGAATTGCAGTCTGCACATTTTCATGACTTCAGCAGCCAAAGAATGAGAGACGGAGACAAAATGAAGACAGAGATGCCAGGGTTTCCTCCTGCATTCTGTACCTTATGGGCCCAAGCGGGGAGCCAGTGCTGTTCAGTAAACGCAATTTCTAAGTCTGTTTCAGTGAGAACTGGTGACATGTACAGCACATGGGAACCCAGTGGGTGGATTATGTTGGGAAAGCAGTGTACTGAATCCAGTGGGAGCTTGTGAGGGAAATCAGAGCTGTCCCTGGAAGTGATTCCCAAGCTGAGTTCTGAAGAACCCTTGTGAGTTAGCCTGGTGAAGAGTGGCAGAACACGGAGGGAAGAACACCTTGCAGACATTGTTTTTCTCTGGGGGAAGGAAAAGTTCTATGACAATTCTCTTAGGGTCTGAGTGATAAGGTTGTTGAATATCCCAGCACTGGGTTATTATTCTCTCAAGGAAGTCATAGTATGAATTGAAAAGCCTGTCAGAAGGACAGCTTTGTTTTATTTTCTATTTTTTTTCCCTTAGCAAAACAAGGCAAATTTGTCTTCTCTCCAACTGGGAATTCCAGCAAGACTCTACTTTCTAAAAAGTTACCTGTACTGCAGTTAAGTACAACAGCTTAGTCATAGGGTTGGAGGAAAGAACTGTAACATTGAGGGCCTCTCAAGGGCATTACATTGTAGTATGTAGCTAAAAGATTGGCTTTGGATTTATCTGGGCAAGGGCAAGCTTTTTTGCTCACAAAGCTGACCTTGAACAAAGATAGCTAACTTCTAAGTATAACTTCATCTTTTAAACGAAGTAAATGAATTTCTAGTTTAGGCTTGTGCATTTTCATGGGTAATAAGTAACATTTAACTTATTTTGTTCATACAAAGCACACACATTTGACTAGTAGGGATTATTGGACTGAAGAAACAATTGTAGTTCACATAGTTAACTTCATACCGACAATCTGAAGCTACAAAAAGATCATTAGAAAGTAATGAGCCTAGTCACAGGAGAATTCTGTACTCAGTAAAAATTTACTAGGCAGTTCTTTGTGTCTGGCTCCCTTTAGTAAGTTGATGCTAGTATAACATAGAAAAATTCAGTTATGTGCAGTTTTTTAAAGTACATTTGAAAAACCTTGAAGTTCTCTTTGATCTTTCTCCAAATTTAATCCCTTGGGAAATTCCCTTGATTCTAATTTCACAATACTCAGATACTATCATTTTAAAGCATTAATAATCAGTATGCTTTCCCAATGGTTCCCCTACAAATGACCTGTGGAAAACTTGTATCATTTTGTCATGCCAGTCCACTGCTGGCTCTTTTGTTCTATTAGGTGGAAAGCAAAAGTAGGCAAAGTACAGCTTCTTAGTGTCCTCGCTCAGGAGTCTAGGGTGCTGGGACCATAAAGCTCCTGTGCCTTCAGTGTTGCTGACTCAGTACCCAGCAGCTAGTGGAACTCTGAGGTTAGGGTGCCAGGACACCCTAACTGTAGCTCTTCCTGCTACAGTCCTGGGCTTTAGGGTGTTGGTACTGTCAGTGCCTTCACATCAGAGCATTGGAACTAGAGATTCTCAGTGGTGTATGGACCTTATAGCAACTGCAGTGTTGGCTTTTCCCAGCTCTTGCTTCCCCACAGGCTCAGCTCCCTGCAGTCTATGCTCCTGGGATTCTTCAACTGCCTTTTAACTGCTTCTGTTGCTGGGTGTGCCTCGAGCTGTGAGTCCCAGTAAGTGACTGCTTTTGTATTATTTGCTCAGACCCTTCTACCCATGACAGAAATCTGGAGTGCTCTCA